AAAATGTTATATTAAAAAACTAAATAAAATAAATCAAGAAATATTAGCAGAAATAACAAACAATAAGATTAATATAGGAATATATGTATATTCCATATAAAGGTTTACAGACTTTAGTGGGTTAACTAATTACTGTTGGCAGGGAGCTAATAAGTAAAGTAATAATGTCTACTTTTAACAAAGGAGCAACGGAGTAATAACTAGAAAATGGGAAATAATACTTCGGAGTAACGAAACAAACACTGATTGGTTAGAAATAAATATAGTATACAAACATATGCGCTTTTGATTATTGTATTATCACCTGAACAATAAGAATAAGATTTGATGTTGGGGAACCACCATACAGTAGGGCCCAGGAAGGCGGACAAACCACTGGCCTAGAAAAAGGGCGCCGCACCACCATGGTGTTTTTTGAAAACACTTTTTCGCAGGCAGCACTAGTGTTTAGTTGAAGAGTATACGTACAGTATTGTCGATATTCATAGTTCCTTCGCTGTGTGTAGTCCAGTTTTGCAGGGGGAGGGTGAAGCCAGAGGGTTGCAATCTGCAGTGACACCGTTAGATGCCACTAAAGGCGCTGACGCACCAAACCGACATCAAAAAAGTAACGACGACTGTCGCGCTGCCTCACGTCGCCTGCGTCTGGGCAGCGAACCACAACACATCGACTACAGCGAACAGCCAACCAGCACGTACGTTCTGCGCCTACGCGAGAGGTAATCAGTCTCCCTACGAGCAGGTGGCAGCACTTTAATATTAAGTGTTACCTGAGATTTTTATTGATTCCCAGAGGAGAAATTAAAATTAGAAACAGTCTGAAGAGGAAGGAAACAGATAAAGATATTATCTATATTAGATATAATGACGTAATGAATACAATAAAATAAAATCACATTCAGATGCTTTTAATCAGATACAGTAAAGTAGTATAATGTGTACATTTACATACATAGATGTACTTATGTGTGTAACTGTATTACAGTAGAATCCAACCACAGCGTGTTAATGTCTGTGGTTTTGAGTTTCAGTGGAGCACAATAACAGGTCGGCCACAGGTCAAAGACATGACCAGCTGTAACAACCGCGGAAGGAAAACATGTGTCGCGTCCATCAACACGACTGCATGACTTTACACATAATGCTGAACTTCACGGAGCGACGAGCTGAGAGAGACTCAGAGGAGAGGGAGGAGGCCAGAGGGGGAGACGGGAGACTATCGGCAGCTGTATTTCTGGTCGTCGTTACACACTCTGGAGCCAGAGACAGTTCGCCTCTCTGAGCTGTTAGCTTAG